GGAGTCTCATTCTGCAAATTTTCGTAATCTGAGGAATCCTGTTGGTAGTAGTGGGATAACCATGTGAATAAAAATTTCTAGGAGTGGGCTCATAACTCCGAAATGTGGAACTGTTGATAAAAATACATATTTCGTGGTGGGACATAAAACATCCTTGGCCTATAAACATTTTCTTCTGAATTGCATAAATGGGAACTGTGACCACTTACTGCTTTGCTTTTCATGAAATGGCAAAAAATGTGTACTTTGAGTTGAGAAGTAAATGCATATTGTATATCTATTGTACCGTTTTCTGGTCTGTGTATTTTAGGTTTAATTCATTTGACAACCACCTGTTTGGGATTAATAATATGGAAGCTGAACGCATGGATCCGCAACAGAAGTTACTGGTAGAATGCACCTACAAAGCCCTGGAGGATGCAGGAGTCCCTGTAGAAGCTGTCAGTGGCACCAAAACAGGTGTTTTTATTGGTAAGATGAAAATGTGATGGTGAAGAAGGTCTGTTTGAACCTGACAGAGGTTGGCGCACTCCTTCATGAACTTTACATACGTATCTAGCACTGGAGAACTTAAGGCTCCTGTGCTATGACACTACTGGTTACTTTTTCTAAGGATTACTAGGCTACCCGAGAAGCTCGTCGTATAATTCACGTACCTATTTTAGGTGCTCTTCTTAGTGTCTTCAGGCACTTAAGTTGAAGCAGGAAACAGTTAAACTGCCTCCCCAACCCAACCCTTCCCAGGAATGATACTCTCAAGCCAGGCCTACACTTTTTTCCAGTATACTGTTTTCCAGTATAGCATTGGTTGAGGTGTTGTGAGGGTTAAGATGCTTTTAAACCAGCAGAAATCCTCACAAAGCTATTAGTATGCTACCAAAGTGCACTTGTCCAACTGCTTATTTTGTCAAGGACCTAGAATAACAGCCCATTTTTGCTGGTGTAATCTGTGTCTCTTTTGAGAGGAGTTTTCTGGGATACTTAGGCTGCTGTAGCTATAGGGGCAAACTCTTCAGATTAACTTTTAGTCGGAAACATGCTCTTCTTTCACAGAGGAGTCTATTCCTTGCTCTCTGAAGAGATGTACTGCATTTCCCACACATGCCTGTGGCGTTGGGGATCCACTGTATTTCAAGCATCTGTATTCTCAGAAAGAGGACACGACCCCTCTCACAGTCCCTGTTGGTCTTCTCTGTTTCTGTCTTACTGGAACGCTGTGAGCAAACCTAAGAGAAATAAAAACCATTTTATGTAGCTTACGATGTGACCTTCAACTTGGTACCTCTGAGGAACTGAAGCTAATGTCTTGTACATGTGTATCCTATGGTTTTGTTGTATCATTGTAACTTCTTAACATCTATTCCCATCACAAAACTAAAATAACCAGTCTCAAACTGAGATACAGGGGTCTATGCAGGCTACAGAGAGTGTAACTGCATCACACAATGGGCTAAGCCATCAGGAAAGGCCCGTCACTTACCATGCAGGTAGAAATTTCAAGTGTTGGGTGTGTTTGTGTAAGTCAGTTGGGTCAGAGGAATTGCTGGGAGTTTTGTCTTTGACTTGCGTTGAAGCCGAGTTTCACCGTACGAGCACTGATGCTATGTAGTTTACTATTAAAACAGAAAACCAAAACATGCTATCAGGTTTAGAGCTGTACCTTCCTTCCGTTTGCTGGGATTAACGTGACACGTATTTGACATTTCTACAGGTCTTATGAACCGAGACTATGAAGTCGTCACAAGCAGAGCAGTGAGTGAAATAAATCATTATGATGGTACCGGAACAGCAATGAGCATTGCTGCTAACAGGGTCTCATTCACATTTAATCTGACTGGACCATCACTGGCTATCGACACCGCATGTTCATCTTTTCTTTTTGCTCTGCACTATGCTTTGCGAGCAATTAAATCAGGTAATGGGACTGAAGAGATGCTGGACAGTGAACTTAGGATTGCTACTGTTTCTGTCTGTCACCCTGGACGTGTCAACACGAGTATGTTTCTGTTGTACTCCAGGAGATTGTGAGGCAGCAATCTGTGGTGGAGTGAACTGCATAATAGATCCCCGCACCTTTGTATCTCTCAGTAAAGCAAAAATGATCTCTCCAGAGGGAATAAGCAAACCCTTCTCCAAAAAGGCAGATGGCTATGGAAGGGGAGAAGGCTGTGGTGTTGTTTTCCTCAAACCACTGAAAAAGGTAAGATTGCTTGTGAAGCAGCCTAAAATAAGACTGGTTCCTTTACCTGAATTTTGTATCTTCGTCTCTAGTAAGTGCTTTTCCAGAAAATCTTCTCCAGTTCAAGCTTTCGATTAATAAAGCATTTCTTAAGCATTAAGCATTTATGCACGTCACGCATTTAAAAGTTAGTATTATACTCTGCTTGCTCTTGGTTTTGTTGTTTCGTTTTGTTTTCTCATATACAGAGAAAGCCTGAGATCATTAAAGATAATTGAACCTTTTTATGAAACAGGCAAAGGAAGACTACAGCAAAATCTGGGGTGTTATAAACATCAGTGCAGTAAATCAGAACGGCAGGTCCATGACTCCAATCACAAGACCGTCTCGAATAGAGCAGGAGAAGCTACTGCGCAGCATTTATGAAACTCATGTTGATCCCTCAGTTGTGCAGTACATTGAAGCACATGGTACGGGAACTGCTGCTGGAGATCCTACTGAAGCTGAAAGCCTAGGTAGTGTCATTTGTAAAAACAGGTCTCCACAAGTTTCCACTCTGAAAATTGGTTCAGTGAAAGGAAATATTGGCCACACTGAATCAGCTGCTGGAGCAGCAGGGTTAATCAAAGTGCTTCTGATGATGCATCACGGAAAGATTGTTCCATCCTTGCATTACTCGAAGGAGATGAGCAGCATCGATGCAGAGAAATTAAACCTTGCGATTCCCACAACTGTAGAGCCCTGGGAAGAATCCAGTGAGTACGGAAGAGTAGCTGGCATCAACTGCTTTGGATTTGGAGGAACCAATGCTCACGTTGTAGTTAGGCAGATTAAGCAGCTAGAGCCTCTTCCTGCCTTTAAGAGGCCCCTTGAATTGGTTCTGCTGTCAGCAGCCTCAAGTAAGTCCCTTCAGATGACAATGGCCGATACAGCTGACCAGCTGAGCACAAGAAACTCCGTAACTCTCCCAAGCCTGGCCTATACGTCTGCCTGCAGAAGAAGCCATGCCAGCTACAGGTACCGAAAAGCATTTGTCACAAATTCGCTCCAACACTTGCAGCAAGAGGTTATGTTGGCAGCGAGCACTGAGCTTGCCATGTCAAAGGTGGAACCAGAGCTGGTGTTTGTGTTCTGTGGCAATGGTGTGACGCTGCAGGAGTTCGGTGAGGCACTGCTGAGCTCAGAGCCAGTGTTCAGAGAGAAGTGTAAGGAAATAGAAGGGCTTTTCCAGAAACATGCTGCCATCAGCCTCTTGCCAACAAGAGGTCATAGCCCAAAGGCCTTGTTGAACCCAGAGCTTTCCCAGCCCTTGCTTTTTACCCTGCAGGTTGCCTTAGCTTCCCTTCTGAAATACTGGGGCATTAAAGCAGTCGCTGCTATTGGCCATTCAGTAGGGGAAGTTGCTGCTGCGCATTTTGCTGGGTACCTTTCCCTGGCAGATGCAGTCAAAGTGATTTATCACCGGAGCCGGCTGCAAGCAAAGACTGCCCGCGGCAGAATGTTGGTGGTTGGAAACGTCCCTGTTCAAGAGGTTGCTGAACGTCTGCATCCCTACTCGGGAAAGGTGTGCATTGCAGCTTTCAACAGCCCGGTTTCCTGCACCTTGTCTGGGCATCCAGACTCTGTGGATGCTGTCCAGAGAGATTTAGCTCAAGCTTTCAGCCAGAGAAACATCTTTCTTCATGTTTTAAACGTCCCAGCGGCGTACCACAGCCCCAGCATGGATATGATACTTGGGGAGTTGGAAGAGAGCATAGAGCCTTTAGCAAAACAGGAGGGGGAAATTGAAGTGATTTCAACACTGACTGGGGTGGCTGCTTCTGGAAAGGACTTTGCTCAGGGCAAATTCTGGGCCCAGCATACTCGTGAGCCTGTTGCTTTCACTCAAGCCATCAAAAGTGCAGCCAGAGACAGGGAAAATGTGGTGTTTGTGGAAATAAGCCCTCACCGAGCATTGCAGCGAAGCATAAAGGAAACTCTAGGAAAAGGCACAAGGGTGTTCTCTTCTTTGCAAACTGATGCAGAGTATCAGACACTCTTCACCCTGGTAGGAAATCTGTTTGAACTGGGATATAATCCCAACTGGCAGCACTTTTATAGTGGGTACCAAAGTGTTCCAGTGGCCATTCCGCGGTATCAATTTGATCGCAAAAAACTCATGGCCTGCCTGGATATCCATCAACAAGCAAACCAAAGAGGCGTCAGCTCCAGTCATCCTTTGATTTATGGCATAAACAGTGACAACATGGAGTTTAGCTGCCTGCTCTCACAGGACACGACGTCGTACTTGTATGAGCACAAGAACAATGGTGTGGCTTTAGTCCCTGGCGCTTTTTATGTGGAGCTTGGGCTGGCCTCTGTGATGAGCAGCTCAAGACCTAAAGTGCCTCTGAGTGCTTGCCAGATGAGTATCAGTTTCTCTGCGCCATGTGTTCTCACACCACAGAGCTCCCAAGTCTTGAGTATCAAGCTGAGTCCACAAAAAGCAGTGACCGCCTTTGAGATACTCTCTTCTTCCAACGCAGTTTATGCTGCAGGCCAAGTTACAAAGGGGCCTGAAGCTGTGGTGGAGGAAAGCACCATCTCCTTCCAAGACATCTATCAAAGATGCCGGTCAGTGATTAGCAGAGAGGAGGTGTATGAAGCACTGTCTCTGGTTGGCTTTCAGTACGGCTCCATATTCAGGCAGCTCAGTGATGTGCATTATTGCCAGGAACTAAAGGAAGCTATAACAAGCATAAAGGTGAACAAGGAGACTGTCAGAGAGATGTACGACTACTGTATCCATCCAGTGCTGCTCGACTGTTTTCTGCAGATGACCGCTGTCATGACCTCAAGGACGTTCCCGTCCAGAGCAGGCTTTCCTTCAGGGATAGGCAGCCTGGTGGTGCTCCGACCGCTGGAGGAAGAAATGATGATATATATGAGAACAAGCAAATCCATTGGGAACTGCCTAGAGGTCTGTGGATGCTTTATGGACAAACATGGCTCCGTTTTGGCTGAGCTCAAGCACGTTGCCATCACTTTCATGAAGCAAGCATCTTCCAGAGACAATGAGTTCATGTTTGAAAACAAGTGGAAAGAAGTCTCCCCTTCACAGACAGTTGGACATCTGGGGACTATGCCGAGAGTTCTAGTGTTTGCTGACAAATTTGGGATATCTGA